ACCCCAAGGGTCCAAAGGACTCCACTAGGATGCCGAAGCCTTCATGCTCTCTCGTCGGCAACCTTCATCCTCAACTGTCCCTGGTTCTTGCTGGTGTAGAACCTTACCGTTGCGACGAAGACACTGATACTTTTAGGATGCTTAAGGGTTTAGGGTTAAGGTTCAGGTGTAAGTGTAGTGCTTCGGGTCTAGCAGGGCTTAGGTTTTTAGCAGGGTTTAGGGCTTGAGGGGTTTAGGCGGACAGCTCAACACTCAACGGCCTGCGAACAAGCCATTTGGTTGCCAAGGCACTACTCGAGGTCTGGGAGGTCACGTGACGCTTGCTCCTGCATCGTCTGGAATTGCAGACGCCGATGAATTGCTTTTAATGTTGCTTGTTGTAGGGTCTCTGAAGGTAGTCTTCGCCCGCCGGCCTTCCATCCTGGAGGCGGGCCCACGGGTGCCGTCGGCATAGCCTGCATGTCTTTGCTCGCTTTCATATCCTACTTTGTTTAGCACCAAGGCTGTAGCAAACAGCTTCTGCATCTTCTTGGCCTGCAACAGCCGATGCGTGGTTTCTTATGTTGTTTATTGCAGGGTCTAATAACGTAGATTTCACCCGCAGGCCTTCCATCCTGGAGGCGGGCCAGCAGGTTCTGTCGGCAAAGCCTGGATGTTTTTCTTTTTCATATCGTTCTTTCTTGGTTCAACACCAAGGCTCCGGCACGACGCTTCCTGTCCGTGCCCTTGCAGCACCGGATGTGTTCTTTCATGGTGTCTGCTTCTCTCTCTCCCTCGCTCTCTCTCTCTCTCTCTCTATCTCTGTCTCTCTCTCTCTCTCTCTCGCTCTTTCTACGTTTCTCTCTTGTCTTTCTGTTCCTTTCTTACCTAGCCGAGGCGGCAGCTTCCGACTTGCCGAACTCCTCAAGCACCTGCAACGGCTCTCTTTCTTCTTCACTCTTCTCTGCTTTTTCACTTAGGCCGCAGCGGTTGTCGGAGTGGCAGTCTCGTGAGGCGCATAG